CACATCTGCTGGCAAAATCTGTCGGAAGTGACCTGCGGTCGAGCAAAACACCTGTAAATACCACGTGAAAACAAGGGCAAGGGATTTCACACATCTGCTGGCTATAGCGGTACTGAAACCGAAAACATGGCACATTTTCCGCGGAATATGTGTCACCATAGCGGTGCTAACACAAAAAACATGATACATTTTCCGCGGAATATGTGTCACTATAGAGCTTTGTGTGTCACTATAGCGGTGCTAACACCAAAAACATGACACATTTTCCGCGGAATATGTGTCACGATATCTGTGCTAATACCAAAAATATGACACGTTTTCGCGGAATATGTGTCACTATAGCGGTGCTGAAACCAAAAACATGACACATTTTCCACGGAATATGTGTCACTATAGCGATGCTAACACAAAAAATGAAACATTTTCTGTGGAATATGTGTCACGACATTTGTGCTAATACCAAAAATATGACACGTTTCCGCGGAATATGTGTCATTATAGCGGTGCTAACACCGTTTCCCGGGAACTCCTATTGGTTCCTCCTGTCTCTCATTTTATTCCAACCTTGAGGGACAAAACAAAACCTAGAGAAGATGGCTTCATCCAAACCCCCATGCAAGGTTTGCAGAAGGGTTATATAGTAATAGGGCACACTTACGGCTAATGTAACGCTTCTGTAATGATTATACAAATCTCTTAATTGCATGTATCATATAAAGTTTCATTTCTTGCTTCCACTCTCTCCATCCACTCCTCCCCCTACCTTTTCTACATAAGCACCTCCAAAGCGAAGATAGAAGACAACAACTGATATCATGCTACACACTGATATTGGTACTGGTACCAATACAGTACAAGCCGAAAAGTTGGAAACTCAATAGCCTCAACCCTGAAGAGTAATGCAAAGGGAATCCCAGCACTATATGGCCTTAATCCGGTTTCCAACTTCATGGGGTTTACTTATAGGTGTATATAAAGCTTATACAAGACTTGTTTAAATTGTTTAAAAGCATATTAAAAGGCTTACGCAGGGCTCATATAAGGCTTATACATATATGGCATACATATTGGGAGAATACAGTAGAGAGAAGTAAAAGGAAAAAATCGATACCAACAACCTTTTCTCCGTGTCCATAATCCAAGCCCTCTTCGGAGAAGGGAAGGTGGGCATTTCTTTTTGTTTTGCCGTTCTCTCTTTTCCTTTTCCTTCTGAAAGAGCAAATATACAGGAGCGAAAGAAAGCAAGAAAGGAAGGGTGATTGGGGAGATATAAACCTCTGTCCATCCTTGAATGTTACGAATAACATAGATGTCTAGGAGACTAGGATTACCAGCGACAATGTGATGAGGGAACCTCATGTTTACTGTCTCTTAGATTCTAAAAAGGCAAGTTTGTTTGTTACCAGTAACATGCTACCATTCGTCATATCATCTATTAGTTGATGTGGTACTGCATTTTCCGGCCCGAAATGTGTCATGCTCATGTCTGTAAGACCGAAAAGATGACAGATTTCCAGCCTGAAATGTGTCATGATTAGGTTTGTAGGACAAAGATGACACATTTCCGGCCTGAAAAGTGTCATGCTTCTTTCTGTAAGACGGAAAAGATGACAGAGCCTGAAATGTGTCGTGCTTATGTCCGTAAGACCGAAGAGATGACACATTTCCCGCCGGCAATGTGTCATCCCAGTAAATGGCCCTTAAAGTGCCGACAGGGCCGATTTTGGATGTCATACCGTTTGGAATTTAGGTTTGTTGTAGTTCAGGGTCGAGGGCTTATAGGCTTAAATCTTTTTTGGCATACAGAAACCCCAAGCGCACAGTATTAATGCTACACAACTATATGGTATATAATATACAGTATATAGATATAACATTATATGTATATATACAGATATAGTATAAGGCGCGTGTGGGTTTTTGATCTTTTAGTAATCGCTAGAGCACTTCTCTCATTTTCACTTCGCATATGGAAGAGACATTTTGTCTTATCACTAAAGAAGATCTTGTGTAGGAAATATCGCAGCAAATCAAGCAAGTCTATCATCTTTCAATTGTGGTCGAGGACCCCTCTCTTTTCCGACTAACAGATAGAAAGGCTTTCCCACAAAATGTACTGCTTGCTGCGTGAATATAGCTTGTTATGTATGTGCAATAAAGGAAATTTAGCTAAGGGTTTTATATAGGCTATGTAAACCCTATGTGTGCCCACGTGATAAGTGATACTTAGTCTTATTATTTTACTTTCAGGGGTTCTAGGCAAGGTTTCATGGTAATAGTAGCAACAGGGTTATAGGCAATACTTCGCATGATTATTGTTGCTTTTATGGTTGTAGACCGGGTTTATTATGATTAAACACAGGGCTATAGGCAATACTTAACATGACTATGGTGTTTGTATGGGTTGTTCTCCTACTTTGCTCGGAGCAGTATTACAGAAGCCACAGGCGGTATAATTAGCAGTGACATAGGCTACTAGGATTATCGAAGTTTTACTGATTATGGATTGTGTTTAAAAGGAACCTTACCAGAAGGAGTATAGTCAATACTTACGGTGTAGGATTATTGGTTTTCTGGATTCTAACATGTGTTTCATGGGATTCTTGGTGAATACATAGTAGTAGTAGTAGTAGTAGTAGTAGTAGTAGTAGTAGTAGTAGTAGTAGTAGTAGTAGTAGTAGTAGTAGCAGTAGTAGTAGTAGTAGTAGTAGTAGCAGTAGCAGTAGCAGTAGCAGTAGTAGTAGTAGTAGTAGTAGTAGTAGTAGTAGTAGTAGTAGTAGTAGTAGTAATAGTAGCCGTGGCAGTAGCAGTAAGAGTAGTAGTAACGATGTCGAATAGATGTCGCTACTCAGAGCAAGGGGATGGTATCATCCTCGGAAACAGACGTGACATACTCATACCGATATAACAAGTATGTCGTCACATATGAATGACTGTGAATGCAATGCGACCTCACTTCATACGGAATGGAGACGGACGCATCGGATAGCGCTGTGTCAATTCACATACAGCAAGAACAATAACATGGAAAGTCTAGACTGCATCCAGATGGAGTATGGGAGAAATATATTTCCGATAATGCGTGTCTTGCACGTTGCGGTTGATGCCTTGTGATATCGGATAACACTTGATGCAATTTGCTGCGTCAATAACAGTTGATTGGGTTGGTGGTGTAACACTTTCTATTCCTCGTATAGTTCCTCCACATTCCACTATCCGACTGCGTTCATGTTCGTTGCAGCTCCATAATAATGGAGAGCTACATAACATTATACGCGTGCAAACTTTTGGGATGAATTATATTGAGAGACATTAATACCAAAAACAGATTGAACCTTCAATTTATGTAGCTGTATTAAAAAGCTTAGTTGAATAATCCCTGAAGGTATCGGGCATATATATATATATATGTATATATATATATATATATAGGAATAATTATGTATGTATATATGCGGACAAAGGTATAGATATGGATGCAGATGCAGAAACAGATATACACATACAATCACATACATAGATAGTGATTAACACATATTTGCATTCATAAGGATGCACCACCATGACACCACCACCGCCACCATCGCCACCACCGCCGCCATCGCCAGCTCCGCCATCACCAAAACTCAACACTCCTGCTCCTGCTCCTACTCCTGTTCCTACTCGTACCCCTGCTCCTACTCCGACGACGACGACTACTACCAGCACTACTGCTTACGCTTCTACTTCGACTTTTGATTTCTACCGCTACTACTGCGGCCAATACTGTGGCCAGCACAAATCTGCCCCTCTCCATCTCCCAAGCTCAAAGCATGGATCACATCAATGATCGAAAGTGCTGCCAGCATAAACATGCAACTTATCTCTCCGCGTGAGGCCTCATGCTAATTCTGCCTTTGCCCGCTTCGAATATATTCGAAACCCGGAGGTGGCAAATCTGAGCGAGGCACACGGCTCGATCTCCCGACATGGCGTGGCAACCTGCACCGCAGGAAGACAAGCGCCGAACGGCCGCCCTAGCTCAAGAGTGGTGTGGAGCATCACTGCCACATGCAAACCAAGCTACCTTGGTGACGAGGAATACCGATAGGTTCCTTGCATGCACTCTGAACTGCCGGTATGGCTCGGCGACATACAACTATCCTAGGTGGCTGTTATCGGCTGTCATGCGCCACAAGTGGGCATAATGGCTATTGGCATTCTGATCATGGGTAGCTCCTGTGCTCCTGCGGTGCGGCCGTCTATGGCATTACGAGTGAGCTCTGTGGAGCTTATGGCTATTACTGCGGCGTGGCCGTCTATGGCATTACGAGTGAGCTACGTGGGCGGTTGTCAATATTAGGGTCCCTTTTTGGGTCCTTGTCATAATACGGCACCTAATATGTAGGAATTTAGGGTACCCAAAAGGGACCCTAATTTTGACAACTACCCATGTGGAGTTTATACGCAGGCAACCCGACGTCTTCTTTTGCCTCGGAGCAGGAGTCATGTCCCCAAAGAGCCCAATAGCCCTTAATTAAGGAATATGGCTTAAATTATATAGGTCTTCATATTATGATGATTAAAGCTATACCTTAACCCCGAAGAACCTACATTTTTAAGGATTATATAAGGAAATCATAATAAGGAACCCAAAAGAGGTAGGTTATTCGGGGTTAAGGTATTCCTTAAGTAAAGGGTATTGGGCTCTCTGGGTCAGCTCTTTGGCTTCTGTTGCGTGCGATCGTCTCCAGGCTCCTCCTACTATAGTTCCTTGAAAGGGTACCATAGGGGTTCCTTTAAGGGATATCCATAAGGGTTCTAGAATGGCTTAGGAGGGAGTTTCCGAAAATAGGGGACCCTAATATAGTACCCTAAACAGTAGGATCCTTATTATACGGACCCCAGAATAAGGTACCCCTAATTTTCGGAAACTCCCCTATCGCAGCGCGCCAACCAGCAAGGGCATGCACCTTGTCGAATTTTTTGGCTGGTCGATACTTGCCAGAAAAATTAAACCACTAAAACCCGCAGTGCCGGCATCTCCAGTGCCACCAACGGACTGCAGCACACCACTTTGGGCAGCGTGCACGTCGGAAGCGCCGAGAATGCCGTGAATAGTACGAATACCCGTACGGAGGTATCGCCGTCGTTGTTTCGGTTGTATTGCAACCAAGGATCAGGCCGGTAGCGGTGACGTTAAAAGCGCTGGGCCCATCAACCTCAAAGCCAGTCACTAAACCGGCTGTCTCGGAGATGCCCACAGCAGCGTCTGGCCGGACGTTGCTGGCGACCAATGTTTGTGTTGGGCCCCAAAGATTGTCAAGGCCTTTCTCGAAGAAGTTCACGATTCGTTGGTTACCGGAGGTGACCTCGAGGATCAGGTTCACTCTAGGACCACACCCGCAAAAACACAACAGAAGGGAGAAGTCTGTTCGACTCTTGCATTACATTCCGGGAAAGTGGCAGTCCTACATTCCTATCTCTCTTTTCATAATGCTTGCACTATTTGAACCCTCCGACAAAAACCGCTCAACATTGGAGTGAGCTTCAACGGCCGCTACTGCCTTGCCAGTGCTGGAGATATCTGCATCCTGGATCTCGTTGGTGGTTTCGTTCTGATCGCCGAGCACTTGGCTATAGACCTGGAAATCAACTGTGTACTTCAGGCAGGATTCTGACGATCAGTTTATCGATGTTCATGTGACTCCGGTTACTGGCATAATTTTAGCATGTCGAGTCGTGATTCCTGCCGTGATGACCACGACCAAGACCAAACAAATTACTCCGGTGGTAATTCTGCTGCAATTTCGGGCGGTCAGGTCTCACAAACTTGGGATCTGGGCTAATTAAGCTTCAAGGTATGCCTGCAATGCATCTTCATGCATCATCCAAAACCTGTTTTGCTTTGTTGGTCTAACAAAGATTACGATACCAGGCGCTCTGTGCTAGTGTTAGGTTGCAACTGAGTCCGTCTATAGCTACTCTTTCGCATCTTCCTGCTGGCGTAAACGCATGCCTTCCCACCATGCTTGCGAGCTTGACTTTGGTGACCTGAACCCTAAACCCTAGAAACCCCAAACCCTAGTTCACTGGGGAGCATCTCAGGTAGTCGCGCCAAGCGATCTTCGGACGGAGTATGATGTGGTTGCGACAAACAAGCTTTCAGACCGCAAACCTTTACGTAAACACTCAAAACCCTAAACCCTTACCTTTGATTAGTTTGAGTGGAGATCTTCCATTCCCTACTATCCAAAGGTAAGAAACCTGCCGCGACTGTTTTGTGCTTCGACCAACCTCCTCCCATGAGCCGGCGTTGTACTCATGAACATAGGCCAGCGTGGTGAGTGATCCATCGGTCGTAGTCAAGACCTCCACTGCATGTTTCGGAGACTCTTAGCATCTCGATCCACTTACCTTAGGGATCTAAGGACTCATATATTATGGCCCAAAGACGCAAGGATCTGTAAAGTCTTGGGCTTGACGTTTCAAGGTTTAGGGCGTCAAGGTGTAAGGATTCCAGGGTTTGCCTCAGTGCAATACTACCAGCTATGATGTTGCTCGAACAACTCTGAACATCCGTACGGCTAAGGGCTAGAATTTCTGCTGTTGCATAAGGACTATCAAGCTCACCTATCAAGTATCATGGTGGTTTGAGAACCATCGCCGTCAGAATGTAATTGCCCTCCACAGCGACGTTCCCGATGACCGCGGCATTTTGCGGAGTGAAATTGGCTGAAGGCCCATTCCACGAGCTGCCTGTCCACTCGTACCTGCCAGACTGTGTCACGCAAATGCCATATATATATATATATATGTACACATGTATAACGAAATATAGTATAAGTCATGTATACGCTAGTTAACATAAATTATGTGGTATATGGTGCATATTGCATATTACTATAGTTTCATGTTCATGATATATTATTATTAAAATATTGTTATTTTGGTGTTATATATGATATGCTCTCATATTATGTGGAGATATGCTGCATACTACATTTTCTAAGACGAACTATTATGTAATATATACTATGCACGACTCGGTTAAAAACAGGACCTCAAACCCCGAGCGTCTGCCCAAGACACCAAATGTCTCCAATAAATTCCAAAACAACGGTGTACCTATAGTCTCCATTGTAGTTCATTTGTTGGGTTAACCAAAAACTATATTATAGGATCCAAGAGTTGGTAAACCAAAAAGGCACTACAATGGAGACTATAGGTAGTGACTGGTCAACCGAGACGCACGTAAACAATGGGAACTATCCCGCCGTCGATAGTCACGGTGGTCAAAACGAGGCGCTGCCCATCGACTGCGAATCCTAAGCAAGAACCAATCTACGGACATTGGTCGATCGAGTGGTCAGGTCAGAGCAGCGAATGAAGTGCGACAGGGTTAAAGCTAAATTTTGGGCAACACAAGTCACCGCTACCAACAATGGACACATGCGCCGTGCTAAAGCTGCCGTCTGGCAACTAAACGGCGCAACTCCTGGTGGGTTCGTGATGTTTGCGGTCTGTACTAGGGACCAACTGGTCCCTTGCCACTGGAAGGTTTCGAAACCACCCAGGGCGGTGGTAGCTGATCGAAAAACCATCAGATCTCCCCCGAGCTTTATGCAATCATCATCGGTAGCAGCAAACTGGCATTCTATGCCTGCAGGGAACTCCACTAGGTTCACCAAAGTCCACGTCGTCCCTGTGTAGACGAAGCTGTAGACTGGTAGTCTAGAAGGGTCACTTACGCTGTAGGCAATCGCAATGTTCTCCTCGCTCAGCTCAGCCACTGCCCAAAATACGTCTGTACTGTTCCAGGATGCCAGGGCGGTCAGGTTGGCGTTCAACTTCCACTCTCCGTCTTCCTTGCTTTAGGGATGAGGGCTTTCGGGGGGTTAGGGGTATAGGGTTGCGCGTTTTCATTCAACTTCCCCTCTTCCTTGATGTAGATGAGGGCCGAGGCAGGCACCTCTCCAGGTCCTGATACTTGAGGGAATTGCCCTAAACCCTAAACCCTAACCTCTAAACCCTAAACCCTAAACCGCCAGGTCCTGATACTTGAGGGAATTGACTCCAAGACATCAGGGCGAAGTTGCTTTTCAGCGATGCACTGGTGTAATGAAACCCCTGTTCCGGAATTGGTGGTGGCTGCGGCTCTACAAAGAACTGCTCCTGGGTGTCGATTTCAAGAACCACCATAATTGGCTATATAGTTGGCATTTTAATATTGAAATAGAAGGGACATGAACAACTATCCCAAATGTACTAATCTCATTCTATGTTCAGCAATAGGAGAATAGAGATCTATCCTCGATTATTTCAAGTCCAAATTTTACATAAGGGACAGCATAAACTACCGCACATGTATTCATACGTGTCTGTTTGTAAACAATACGGAAAATTTTGGACAAAACCTCACCGTAGACCCTAAACCTTACATGGTACCTAGGCGCTGTCCATTGAGAAGACGAAATGCAGGTCGGATCGGGCCCAGGGGCGTGTGGTGCGAGCTGCAGGAGGCAAGAGGGCTCCTGTGAATATTTACATAGGGGTTTTACCTGGAGGTTCATGGGTAGATATACGTGGGGTTATAAGTCCCCTAATATAGGTTATATTCATAGTTATCCTACTTATAACTCTACTTATAACTACCGATGAACCTCCGAGTGGGGTTTAGGCCTCTAGTGCTTTTCGGGTCTTCCGCCTTTGGCGTTTGCGGGTATACCGCGGGGTCAGGCTGCGCTGATATTGGATTCTGTTGGCACATCGAAGAACCCCACTTTCATCCCCAAGATTCAGGCCAGCCTGGGTTAAGTTGAGCTTCTGGCAAGAGGCCATCCAACACAACAGCGACATGCGCAACATGGCGGGCGGCCCGGCAAAGTTCGGATAAGGTGAGCCGGCTGCGAGCCTAAAGGTCTCCAAAGCGAACTAAGCCCTCCAAAACTCAGAACGACAAAACAAAGAAGCACGGGGAACCAAGACTGCAAGCAATTCGAGCAGCAGCATCGAACGTCTCGGGCCCATTGTGTGTGTGTGTGTGGGTGGGTGTATATACTGTGTCTTCATTCGTATGGGTGGCTGTAGTGAGGGGCGAGGAGAAAGAGAGAGACAGAGAGAGAGGGAGAGAGAGAGAGAGAGAGGGAGAGGGAGAGAAATAGAGCGGGAGAGAGTGAGAGAGAGAGAGAAAGAGCGCGACAGAGAGCCAGAGTTAGATATACATGAATAACCAACATGGACAGATACGTAGAGACAGCTGGCATGTTTGGATGCATGTGGCTATGCACGAACGAATACTGCAAATAGCCCTTTGCGGCCAGCAGCCCGCACACAATGAAAGGGATGGACATCATTGGCAACGCTCACAAATAGTGGCAGAAATATCAGTAAGAACAGTAATACTATTTATTAATAGAAACAGCAATGATACGAGAACGAGGCTCGGAGCGTGACGACGACGACTACTACAGCAACAACTACGACTACGACTACGACTACCACTACCACGACCACCAACAACACCACCACCACCACAACCACTACGACTACTGCTACGACGGCGACGACGACTACTAGTACTACTGTACTACTAGTACTGCGACGACGACCCACTATAATACTAATAAGAATTATATTAATACTAATGGCAGCAACAATGATGATAGTGATTATGAAAATAACTGTGATAACAGTGGCCATAGCAATGACAATATTAGTAGTAGTGACAGCAATGCACATAGAACTAATCTTACTCCTGAAATATGAATAATAATACTCGTATTATTGTCATAGTAATAATGTGGTGAACAAACAGTAATAACGATGATAAAAAACAGGCGAATATTCGTCATAAGAACTATTGCAACAGAATAAAACATTGCAACAGTTTTAACAATAATAGCACTAATACTAATGCAAAATGCCACCACCGTCAGTTTAAACATGCTACGCGTGATATCGTAATGATATAGTCTTCAATAAAGTATAAACAGGAAAGATATGTGCATAACACTACAGCTGATATCGCTAAATCACAATGATGAAACGGTGATCGTATTAATAACAATCGCCATCACAATAAGAACAGTAACAAGCACACATATATATATATATATATATATATATACACACACAGAGCCTTATTACCCATAATGCTAGCAGTAATCATCGCCGTAGTAATGATCGTTATAACTTAGACGCTGCTCCCACCTTGTAATAGTGACTATAAGGATTATAATAGGGCCCTTTTATATTCCTATTATACCACTATTACAGGGTAGGGGCAGCTTCTAAGTTATTACAAACATGATAACTTTCGAGGCTTTGCTTGCGCACTCCCACTCCTGGCCTGCCGCAATGCCGCCATAGCTCCTCCTTCCCAGACCCGCACAGACCTGGGTTATTTGGTTCTAGGCTGCACACTTTTGTTAATCGGAAAGCATGAGTTGTGTCATACGTGCAGCGGCCATGCCTCCCTGTCGTTGCTGATACTGCTGATGGTCAAGCTCTCATACAGAACTAACATGGACTCGCAACACGTTAAAACACCAGACATCGTGGCTTGTTGTCGAAGAGTGACATATTGCAAACAAGTGAAGCATCGGGCAGATCTCCGAGAAGTCCCTGTAAGATAAGTTTTGCATGTAATTCAGGTGCATCCATGATTTCAATAGGAGTTCGGCGGGATTGCGGGGCGACATGTGCATCGAGGACGCTCGGGGCGGCGCGTGGCTGTGAATCCTGCTCCTCGAGGCACGTCCGAAGAGCCTCATCCTTTAGAAGGGGCCCCCACCCTGTAATAGTGACTATAAGGATTATATAGGATTAGATTAGGGCCCTATTATATTCCTATTATACCACTATTACAGGGTGGGGGCAGCTTCTAACTCATCCTTCTGTCTCTGAGCCGACTGCGGCTGCATCAGGAAGAGACGTGGCCGCTGAACTGAACATGATCCCTAAACCCACACTATTATTTCTGTTGTGCTTGTATATCATTCGGTGAGTATTTTTATACCACTAGATTAAGACAATAAGTTTTTTGTAGAACCGTTAGACAATTAACTCGTAGCCTTTAATCTAGGTGCGCAGCCGGAACAGTTGTTTTCAATCAAAACAGGGTCTGTCTGAAATCACGGCACAACGTGAACCCAGTGGGGCTTTGCATGGATGATCAGGATTTCGGATGGGGGACTTGGGAGTTGCCGAAAATAGGGGACCCTAATATAGTACCGTAAATACTAGGATCCTTATTATGAGGACGACCAGACAAGGTACCCCTAATTTTCGGAAACTCCCACTTGGTGAGTAGGCTTTCCAGACGGTAACATGATGCTTCGCAAATGGACAAAGCCATGCGTCCGACAGAGCCAGCCCAGAGACTCCAATATCCCTGAATTAAGGAATATACCTTAAACTATAGTAGGATCCCTCATATGATTTAAGGAATATTCCTTAGTTAAGGGATATTGGAGTCTCTGGGAGTTGTATGTTGAGGCCCTTTGACGGATCTGGACCCAAAGTTGCGGAGCTAACTGTTTCAGAGCAACGACTATCTGATGGGTTGTGACACACTGCTCTCAGACACTCCGGAACCCTGAACCCCTAACGCCCCAAACCCCGAACCCCTAAACCCTAAACCCCTAAACTCTAAACCGCCAAGCCCCAAACCCTGAACCCCTGAACCCCAAACCCCTGAACCCTAAACTGTAAACAAACTCCAAGCCCTCACTTAGTTGCTGAGTTCAAAAGCCCCCAAAAGTGCACACTTTTAGTTTTGTAGTGGGCAATATTATCCCCAAAAGTGTAAAGTGCATCCACTCAGCTACTAGGTTCACTGTAAACGACCTCCATTTCCGGGCCCCTGAGCTCCCCAAACCTCGCAAGGAAGAGCTTAGGGTTCGGGGTTTAGGATTGGGAGTTTAGGGGTTTAGGGCTCAGGGTTCAGGGGTGTCGGGTGTCGGAGTTTGGGAATTAGGATTGCTTTCAAGATATGTAGCACCTTGAAAGAAACCGACGTGTGTTAGGGTTTGGGCCCAAAGAAATCGGAGCTTCTTTTTCTAGCACCCGCAGGCCTGAGACCAAACACACAGCTTCACCCAAAGGCTCCATGTACCTTTATAGTAGATACTTAAGCCTTAAAGGGGTCTCTATATAGGTACTTTAAGGCCTAAGTATATACTATATGGGTACATGGAGCCTTAGGGTCAGCTTTGCATGGAAGCCCTGCGAATTCCAGCTTGCACGCGGGTGCCCGCGAGGATACGCGAGGATCCTCAAGGGCCTCGTAAGAAGACTCTGGACTTCCCTATAGTCTCCATTGTAGTTCCTTTTTGGGGTTACCTTATGGGATCCTTAATATATATATATATATATATATATATATATATATATAATTGGTTAAACCACAAAAAGGAACTACAATGGAGACTATAGGTCTGTTGTGGATGGCCCTCGTAACTATGCTGGCTGCATGTCTCGACGATGGCGGTCCTCAGGCTGTAATGACAATTGCCACCTCGAACGAAAGGAGCGTCCGGATCAGCAGCTCCGGCGCGACGCTCTACTTCGCTATCAGAACTGGGAACCCGGATGCCATCAGTCACGCTTCAGTTCCGTGCTGCATCCTCTCAAGCATCCGAGTTGAAGTTGCAGGGCTGACATCACACAGGAGGAGTGCGAGAGATTCAGATGAAAACCAACATCTATGTGGAATTGCGATGACAAGCATAGACAGACAGTAGTCGAAACAAGGGGTTTCGGGATGTTTAGGGATTCTTCCTCCGCCTCCTCCGACCGCTGCGGCGACGATTACTGCAGCCGCCACTGCTATTGCTATGCTGGCTGCTACTATTGTGTTCAGCACCGTTTCGATCTATGTGTTTCGTGCCAGTATGTTCCGACCCTGCACTTTGTGGCGATTTGATGACGGTGATGAAGATGATGATGCTGATGAACATGTTTTGCCACCTCAATCATAAAGAACCTTTACCATGTGCTAAATTCAATCGTTGCATTCCTCGGATTTGGATGGTCCCATGACATCCTCATGTCCCTCATGCCTGCAGCAAACTGCAAGCTCTCAACCAAGAAGTTTCCTTTTCATGCCGAGTAGTAGGCTCGCATCAGCAGCTACGTCTAGCGGCAGTCGATGAAAAGGCCACTCAGTGTAACATTCTCACGGTGAGTGCTTACTGTAGCCGTCACTAGGCACGGTTCTCAATGATAAAAACCCTGGCAAACCGACATTAAAGCGAACCAGCTGGCAGTTGCGCCATGCGTCATCGCTTTGGCCTGCATCGCACCGGCATCATGTACCTGGACACTCTGAGCAGATGGATGTAAATAAAGTAGATACTTTATCAAATTTGATTTCTATTCCTGGAGCTTCCTACCGAGACAAGCGATCGGCAGCTAACGGCCTGATCACAGATCCACTGCCAGACATGTGTCAACTCGACGATGCCCGCTTCATCCCGCCACCCCCTCTTCAGCACAGCAAACTAGGCACCCAACCTCCTGTGGACTCACGCCCGAACACGAAAGCCCCCAAAGGAAACGAAAGCTTCAAGATTCAAGCCCGCTGGGCTTCGAATCTCTGCGACGCTGGCTTGAGGGTTTCTGACAAACCCTGTACCCCAAGACCCCAAACCTTGCATGGCCGTAAATCCAAAACCTTGGAACCTGGCCGCATCTGCTTCAACTGCCGATCGTACCGGCGCTTCTCCGCATCCGTAGCGTCTAGCGTTCACGCCTAGGCTTTGGGGTTTAGGCTCAAGGTTGCTGTTTTCGGCATGTGATGGTTTGGGACTTAGTGTATATCGGAAGAAGGACGGTTAGAGTCGGGCCGCAAATGCTAGACGAGAAACGCGGGACATCTAAAGCGAAGCCATTCAAACTATGCCCTGTGCTGCCGCCTCGTTTAAACGTGTCTCACACCGTAATGTGCATACAAACGATGCTTGAGTGATGTGCCTACCCACATCGCACAGTTATGAATGGTGCATGACCACAAAACTCCGAAAGCCCTATGAAAGCCCTTGTACAAAGACCTTCCGTGTCAGGAAGAAGGAAGACTCCAAAGAAAACTGGTGAAGGTCGAGGTTTAAGAGGTCTGTGGCCGAATCAGGACTGTGGGTGTTGAGGTCGCCGACCTCTTGCGATACGCTGCAGCCACATGCGAACTTTAAGCACTTTCAACGCCATTTCAAGCCGATGGGAGCCTCTAAGATTGCCAAAGCCCGTGAGTATGTTTTGTGGTTACTTCTCCAGCAAGCCTTTATGGTCATGGGAAACTGTAAGTTTAGGGTTTAAGGGTTTGCTCCGGCTATCTAAAGCAACACCACAAGCAAGGATCGCGTTCCATCCTGAAGCTAAGAGCCTCAGTTGCCGACCTACTAGACTTATATAGTCATATCAAGTCATAACCTAAAACTCAACCCCGAGTAGTAAGCTCTAGGATTTGATCCGAGCCCTAGAGGCTTTCGGGTTTAGGCTCGAGGCAGAGTGCAAGAAACCTTCGTGCTCTTACCGCCGGCTTAGTTTGTGCTCTTGCCAGACTTCAGACCCTGAAATCCTAAGTCCTAAACATCAAGACTCCCTAAAACCTGCAATCCTAAACCCTCTCCTCTGTACCGCAAACCCTTAAACCATGTAGCAGAAGCCACGATCATCCTATGCGGAGCCTCAAAATGTGGGATCAAGGTGGGTAGGATTCAGGATCCCACATGCAAGGACTATTATTAGGAAATACCCCACCTGCCTTCATCCCACCTTCGGACACAAACCCTCAACCCTGAACCCTCAAACCCTACAACCCTCAAGCCTAAACCCTCAACCGTACAACTCCCCGAGAAGGTTTCGCCGAGCTGCGCAAAGCTTCCGAGGCACCTCAGCTCAGGAGACAAGGACAAGGACGTAATGTAGGGGCCTCAAAAATTACCGATACTATTGTTTTTTTGTGGCGGGGGGGGGGGGGGGGGGGGGTCCTGCAATAAAGGGGTCTATACGGGCTACTATACGGGCTATTATAAGGATTTAGTATAGGGGCCTTGATAATTACCTATACTATTTCGGGGGTTCCTTTTAAATATTTGTAGTATACCCTATCTTAATTATAAAAGCCCCAATATCAATGCAGGGGCCTTACAAGCTTTCCTGTCAGTGTTCTATCAGGGATACTATAATTGGAGGATTTCAGGGAATTGATAAATGTTGGGCCCTTAAAACTAAGCATTTTGGTGCGTTTTGCAATCCTATCCTGGACTGTCAGACTGTCCTGGACATTCAAGTGCAAATTTTAGAAGGAGCCCTCAGGGCGCGGCTTATGCAGAGTCAGGCTGCTTTTAGGGTCTCGGGGTTTTTTAGAGATTCTACACTAGCTGGCTATTGGTTTTGCGCTGTGGGGCTGAAAGGCTTAGGGCTTTAAGGGTTTAAGAGTTTAAGGGCTGAAGTCTCGAACAAATTTCAGGATCTGGGGTCTGAGTTTTAGGGAGTTCCGGGCTTAGGGTTCCAGGACTTTAGAATGTGTTCGGCGGGATAGAACAAACATTTCGGGCACTACTCGGCTTCTTTGAAGAGCTATAAGGCGTAGTGGGGTGCAATGTGATCCTTTGCACGGCCCCCTTCATGGTTTTTCACTGAGTCTTCCAAGTAATGCACTTACCGTAGCCGTGGGGTGTGGTAGTTCCGGATAGAGGAGCTGCAGTAGCTAGTCCAAGTTGCCAGATTGTTCTACAAGCTCTCACTGTGTCTCGCATGAGAGGCCGTGCTTCTCCACACGAGTTCTCACCAACCTTCTCCGGCACTTCTCAATCCCATCCACACTGGCATGATTAACCTGAACAACAAGGCCTCCTGAACATTCCTACCGAGACCCTCAAATAGACATAGTAGGACCTTCACAGAGTAACCTCCCACCCACCCCCTACGCCCTGACCCTGAGCGAAACGAACAAACCACCTTCCAACCAACATGTCCGTTGCATGTAAACTGAAAACCACAAAACGCAACCCCGCATTGGGTCCTTCGGCCAAAGGGTCGGAGTCAGGGGTTAGAGTTCTTTGGTGTGGGGTTTTGGGGCTCGGTTCTTTGACTATAGGGATAGTTGCCAGTCGACAGCGAAGTTGGACAGAGACGTCAAGCCAACAGCTAGCCACGCAAGAGAGCACCTCATCGGGGTTATCCCGGCGCCGGGCGTTTGTACCTGTTATGGCTTTTCTCTGCGTCTTTCGGAGCTTAAGCCCTGCGCTTCATGTAGCACACCGAAATCGTGGTGAGCGAAAACAAGCACTCCACGTTCCACGTAAGGACTCGTTCCAATCTATGCCTCTGGCGGAATCAAACTCTGAGCGGACAAATCTGAGCGAAGGACGCGTCTCGATCTCCCGGCACGGCATGGCAACCTGCACTGTGGAAGACAATTGCCGAACGGCTACTAGCTCAAGAGTGGTGCTGGGCAGTAGTGCCACATGCAAAGTTTACGGCTCGGCACTTGCAATTTGTGTGCGTTGCCCTTACAGGAGGTCTGACGCCATACTTGCACTAATTCGTTGACATCCTGATGGTTGGGTCTTACAAGTATGTGGAGCTTGTACGCAGGCAAATCCGACGTGTTCTCTTGCGGCGAGCAGGAATCATGTCAGGCCTACGTGGCAGTTGATCCTGCTCTGGAGCTTCTGTTACGGCCGGATCCTTGCCAAGCTCTTGTTGAGCTCTCACAGGGCGCCAATTAGCAAAGGCCTACACCTTGTCGAATTCTTGGCTCATAGGCCCTGTGTCCACCCGTGTCACGTCTCCATCACTTCCAAGGCAAGGGCTCTGAACTTGCGCGAGCCATGCTAGGGACTGCATACTTGGAGGTTCATGGGTAGATATAAGTAGCCTAATTAAAACTACCCATGAACCTCCAAGTACAGACTCAACCATCAGCCGTGATGATGATCTGGTGTGCGGTGTGAGTCTGAAGGCCCATTGGACCGTGGGAAATTCCAAGCAAGCCTCTACATCGGCATCGGGCCGATGCTTGCCAGTAACGTAGGAACCTGATTAAGATACCTTGGGCCTTCATTAGGGTTCTTAATATGGATCCAAATATATTGGGGTTATAGGGCCAGGGCTTCTTAATCAGGTTCCTATATCAAACTAAAACCACTAATAGCAGTGCATGCATCTCCAGTGCCACCAACGGATTGCAGCACACCACTTTGGGCAGCGTGCACGTCGGAAGCGCCGAGAGTGCCGTGAGTAGTACGAGTACCCGTAAGGAGGCATCGGCGTCGTTGTTTCAGTTGTATCGCAGCCAAGGATCATGCCGGTTGCGGTGACGTTAAAGGGGACGCTAGAACTTCCGCTGTCAAACTCAAAGCCAGTCACTAAAGCGGCTGTCGTGGAGATGCCCACAGCAGAGTCTCTCGTGACGTTGTTGAAGACCAATGTTTGTGTCGGACCCCAAAGATTATCAATGCCTTTCTCGAAGAAGCTCACGATGCGTCGTACATTTGCGGGGTCGACCTCGGAGATCAAGAATGCCTCCTCTAGGACGGCTGCACCCCGGCAACAACAAAAGGTGGTGGAGAAGTCTGAGACACTGTGAGATTACATTCCGGGACAGACATCACTCCGCTGTCTTTTTTTTTGGAATTTCCGAAAATTAGGGGTACCTTATCTTGGGGTCCTTATAATAGCCCGTTTGTTGAAGAAGAGAGCATATATCCTAAACCTGCTGCCCGGACATCCTGTGACCGCATGGGATTACCAGTAGAGTAGTGAGTAGTGTTTATAGGGGTACCCTGCACTGCAATATACTTCTAACAGGGAGCATACGTGGATATTATGACTAGTTATTCCAACGGTTGTGGCCATCTCTCGGAACTATGCAAAAAGATCAAAACGGGAGTTTCGGAAAATAGGGGACCCTAATACAGAACCCTAGATAGTAGAATCCTCCCAAAAAGTTCAAACTTTCAAAGATAGAGCTAATATATAGGCCCAAAGGTTTAAAGTTCGCCCCTTCACTATCTAAGTTAATAACTAGATTTGGCTTTGAAGGTACAGTATACCATAATGATAATAAGGACCCCTCAAAACCCTGTTCGAATCACTTAAGCCCCCTACATTACTATCTAAGGATGCGGCCCAGGCTCCGCAATGCTGCTAATCGATTCCCTCTGATATGAAACGCCCCGCCCTCCCATCTGCAATAGTAAGTTGTCGGCACGGCGAAAGCTATTCCGGCTATTCAAGGGTCCGTGTTTTTCTTTGTAACCTTTCAGTTTGTAATAGGGGGAATAATTAGAATAGGGTGTTGGGGCCCAATATACTATAATTAATAAGGAACCGCACACAAGAGACTCGGCAGTCGTACCTTCCTGTGATCTGTGGCCTGCAGTCCCCCTGCAGTCCATAATTCTTCTGGTTCTTTTCAGAATGAGCCCTTTAGGGTAGTATTTGAGCCCCCCAAAAAGCTGCTCAACGGTGGACAAAGCGTCACGAGCGTCAACAGTCACTACTGCCTTGCCACTGATGGAGATATCTGAATCACGGATCTCGTTGAAGCTTGCATTCGGATCGCCGACCACTTGGCTATAGACCTGTCTCAACATGAAATTTCTATTTACTATAACCGGTCAGGATTTTCAATGTTCATGTGACTCCAATTACTAATATTATGTTTGCATGTAGCATCGTGGTCATTGTTGTTCTGACTACTCTGAGCAAGAGCAAGAAGACGACTCCCGTGGTATTCTGCTGCAGTTTCGGGAAGTCATGTCCCACAGGACTGGGCTTGAAGGTAGGCTTGGAAGCCGGTAATCTACCTGCAAAGCATCATCCACAACCTGTTGTGTTGTGTAGCTGTGACAAAAATCACTATACCAGGCAATCCGGGCAAGCATTGCAGTTCGTCTATATATCTCATCGGCATTTTCCTGTTGGTGTCAATGTGCGCCTTCCGAGCATGCTTACAGTTTCAGTGTCGTGCAAATGTTCACAACAGACAGACGGGAGCATCTCAAGTCTCTTCGGTCTGGGTTTCCAGTGTTGGGAGAAACAAGCTTTCGGAACCTAAACCCTTACACACGAAAACCCCTAATCCCGCCGTGCTTCACCCGACCTCCTCCCATGAGCTGCCATTGTACTCGTGAACATAAGCCCGCTTGGCTATTCCGATTCCATCATTCAGGGACAAGACCTGCGAAGCATGTTTCAATCATAGGGACCCTTAGGGGGGCAAGGGAAGGCGGGGCGGTATGGGACTATACTTCCTTAAATAGTCCTTATTAGGTCCTTACGATGGGCATTAAAGCCCCCTACTTAAAGGATCATGGGGCTTAGTAACTAGGGTTCCAATTAAGGTGCTTATAACCTTTGTTACACAGTCCCATGATCCTCCAAGTATGGGACTATACTTCCTTAAATACGCCTTACCAGGTCCTTATTATGGGCATTAAGGCTCCCTAACCGACCTCCCCCAACCCTAAACCCCAAACCCTACTTAAGGCCCCCTATCCCCCCTCCCCCAACCCCCTTAAGGGAAGCCCCTCAGCCTCGCCAGCTGATGCGAAAGCGTATTAGGGCGTTTAGGGTCTGGGGGTTTAGGGGTTTAGGGGTTTAGGGTTTAAAGAATTGGGGATTTAGGGTTTAGGAGTTTGGGGATTTAGGGTTTAGGGGTTAGGGTTTAGGGTTTAGGGCCTTTGCTTGCAGGTTCATGGGTGGTTATAGGTGGGGTTATAGCTCCACTAATACAGGTATAAAAATAGTTTCCTATATAACTACCCATGAACCTCCAAGTAGGGTCTGGGGGTTTGCATGTCAGGCTTCACCTGGACCATGAAGAACCTAGCTTTTTCGGGTTCCTTATTATGGTTTTCTTTTCTTACATACGTCCTTAGAAATGTAGGTTTCAGGGTCCAGGTAGGCTTACATAGCAATGATTTCCGAACAATCGCCGTCAGAATGTAATTGCCCTCCACGGCGACGCTCATGATGATCGCGTTACTTTGGGGAGTGAAACTGGCTGACGGCCCATCCCATGTGCTGCCCGTCCAATCGTACCTGCCAGGCTGGATACGACGTGCATGAATAAATTTTTGGGATGCTGCAGGAGGGTGTAAGGATTTCATGCTTGGAATTCCGATGTTGGTGCAAACATTCATACATATGTAATTAGATAGATACATAGATACATACACACATATGCACATACATGCATGCGCACATACATCCATACATCCGTACATGCACACATACATACATACCTACGTACATACAGGCAGGCAGGCAGGCAGGCAGACACACATCCACACACACACACACACACACACAGACACACACAGACACGCACCACACACAGACACACACAGACACACACGGACACACACAGACACACACAGACAGACACACTGACACACACACACACACACACACACAGACAGACACAGACACACACAGACACACACAGATACACACAGACACACACAGACACACACACACACACACACAGACACACAGACACACACACACGCACAGACACACACACACACACACTCACAGATACACACACAGACACACACACACACACACACACACACAGACACACACACAGACACACACACACACAGACACACACACAGACACACACACACACACACACACACACACACACACAGACACACACACACACACAGACACACAGAGACACACACGCACAGAGACACAGACATATATATATATATATATATATATATGGTACCCCCCCAAAGCCCACACTTTTCCTGCTCAGGTACGACATCCAGTTCTTCCTGCACTTGCTGCGTGGGTTTTGGTTCAGGGTTGAGGGTTCATGTCATGCGTGTATGTCATCATGTCCTCCACATACACGACACACATTGAGAAAGCATGTGTTGTACTAGAGTTCACATTTCGAAAAGATCGAGAAAATACGGCCTTATATCGTCCGGAGTTCCAAAATTTGCAAAAATTTCCAAAAAGTGTGGCCTTACATCGTATGGAATTCCGAAATGCACGAGCCAGTTAACTGCCATGATCTCAACCCTGGAGCGTGTGAACTTGAATCCAACCAGAAATCCCAACTCCAACGTTCTTTGATGGGGTCAACCGAGATGCACGTAAGCGATCGGGACCGTTGCGGGGGTGAACACCTGGTTGGTCAACACGAGGCGTTGTCCATCGACTGCAAATCCTAAGTTGGTCGGCCCAGTGGTCAGGTCAGAGGGTCGGAGCGGTTTCTGGTTTCAGCACAAAAGTCACCTCTACCAACACTGGAAAAGATTCAATTTGCTGATGCTGCTGTCTGGCAACTGAACAATGCAACTCCTGGTGGGTTTGTGATGTTTGCAGTTGGCACTAGGGACCAACTCGTCCCTTGCCACTGGAAAGTTTCGAAACCATACCCACCCCCCTGATCGGTGGTTTCTGTTCGGAAAACCATCAGATCTCCCCCGAGCTTTATGCAATCATCATTGCGACCAAATTGGCAGTTTACTCCTTCAAGGAATTCCTGTACATTCACCAAAGTCCATGCCGTTCCTGTGTAGAGGAAGCTGTAGACCGGTAGTCTAGAAGGGTCACTTACACCGTAGGCAATCGCGATGTTCTCCACCTAGTTCATGGTTGGGATAGGATTAAAAATTTAAATTTGTATCCCTTTTTGGGTTTAAATACCCACAAAACTGCAAACTGATACCCAACTATGACAAAGCCACGCTTAGAGCAGCCACCGCCCAAATTACGCCGTCGGTACTGTTCCAGGATGCCAGGGCAGTCAGGTTGGCGTTCAACTTCCACTCCCCGTCTTCCCAGCCATAGATGAGGGCCAAGGCCGGAACGACTGCAGGTTGGTCTGAGACAAACTGGCTCCAGGACATTAGGGCGAAGTTGCCCTTCAGCGCCGCACTAGTCCAATGAGACCCTCGTTCAGGAACTGGCGGCGGCTGTGGTTCTACAGAGAATTGCTCCTAGGTGTCGGTTTCAACAGCCCAAGCTTATTCAGATAGGCTTCCCCATTTGACAACAGTTGAAATCAACAGCATGTCCCAAATATGTTGATAGCTCTTGTATATTGAACAAAATTGAATCGAAACTAGAATTTATTTCGAAGACACGGATACTGTTCAACGTTCGTTACAAGTCTAGATTCTATATTCAGAATGGTATCCAAACTATACTAGTACTACTCAGTCTTAAAGGGTAAGGGGATTTCAGCACATCCTAATGTAGGGGCGTTAATAAGTAGAATAGGGTTTTGGGGTATGTTATATCATGTTCATAATCAGGAACCCCAAAACCAGTATAGGTAACTTTTAAGGCCCCTATATTAATTCGTACCTAGGGCTCTGTCCATTGAGAAGACGAAATGCATGTCGGGTCGGTTTCGGCCTGTGGTGCGAGCTGCAGGAGGCAAGAGGGCTCCTGTGCATAGTTAGAGGTTTAGGGCTTTAGGGTTCAGGCTTTTGGGGTTTAGGGACAGAAGGACTTTAGGGCGCTAGAGCTTCAGTGTCTTCAGGCTTTGGGTTTCAGGGTTTACTGTAGGGTTTTAAGGCTTGGGGATATTCGATTCTGTCGACACAACGAAGACAGCCACTTCCAGTCCCAAGATGCAAGCCGTCCTGCGTAAAGTTGAGCTTCTGGCAAGAGGCCATCCAACACAACAACGACGACATGCGCAACATGGCGGGCGGCCCGGCAAAGTTCGGATAAGGTGAGCCGGCTGCGAGCCTAAAGATCTCCAACGCGAACTGAGCCCTCCAAAACTGAAAAAAGACAAACCAACGCACCATGGTAAAGAAGAACCAAGACTGCAAGCAATTCGAACAACAGCATGGAACGTCTTGTTGGTGGCGTTGGTGGTCGTGGTCGTGGTGCCGGTGGGACTGTGGGGGCGAGCGAGCGAAAGAGCGGGAGAGAGAGAGAGAGAGAGAGAATCAGAGAGAGAGACAGAGAGAGAGAGAGAGAGAGAGAGAGCGAGAGAGAGACACACAAACAAAGAGAGAGAGAGAGAGAGAACGAGAGAGAGAGAGAGAGAGAGCGAGAGACAGAGAAAGCGCACGAAGGGGAGAGAGCGAGAGAGAGAGAGAGAGAGAGAGAGATATATATATATATATACACTGATAAATATTATAAAACTATATATATATATATACATGTATACATATATCTACACATATATATATATATATATATATATACACACTCATATGTGTAGAAGTAAATATGTGGATGACTAACATGGACAAATACGCAGAGACAACTGGCACATTTGGACGCACATGGCATGGCTTTCAAGCATGAATGTGGTATATACCTCTTCGGTACGGCGGCCGTAGGGCGAGCAGGCCTGCAAACACTGAAAGGGATGGACACCGCTGGCAAACCTTTAGCATACTTAGTACGAAAGTACAAAACGAGAATACAATCCTACATTCTTCGCTTAGGCACTTGCGCTCAAGGCCTGCCGCAACGCGGCCATAGCTCCGCCTTCACAGACCCCAGCAGACCTGGAACGTGCTTCCGAGCTTGGGGCTTTGATGGAAGCCTGAAAGGGGGCTTATAGGACAGCTAAGGGATCTTACATGGGCTTTGAAGGGTTTCTGTAAGAGCCTTAAGCGGGATTTACAGGGCTATATAAGTTTTCAAACGAACAGTTTCAAGCATGAGTTCATGCAAGCCGCGGCCATGCCTCGCCGTCGTTAGTAACAGTGCAAATGGTCAGGCTCTCATGCAAAACTAACATGAACTACCAAGACACTATCACCCTCACGAACGAGCCGACTGAATAGTGAAAGTTGGGGAACGATCGTGGACCGCTGTCGAAGAGTCACATATTCCAAACAAGTGAAGCATCGTGCAGAGCTCCAAGAAGTCGCTGCAAACAAGTTTTCCCTATAGACCAAAATAGTAGTACTAATAAACTTATTAACAACAAAAAGGCTGGCCTCAGGGGATCCAGTAAATGACTAATCATAGCGACCCTGAATGAAGATAGGGATCCCTGTGACACGGATAAGCAGTCTTCACTCACATATAGCCGTCAAATGCTCGATCTGCGCCCACATTATAGGATTTCTCAGAAAAAGCTGCACGTCAACTTCGCTTTAACTCTCTAAGCTTGGTCAACTGAACCTCGACAGCTAACCCTCTAGATCTTCTGCGTTCCAGTTCAACCAAACTACTTGGAGAATCATGGGGCTTAGTAAGGGTTCCTTAAATGGGCTCTTTAAAGGGATCTATAGGGGTTCAATACAGGGATCTATGGGGTGTAGGGTTTAGGGTCTACTTGAGAATCATGGGACTTAGTAACTAAGGTTATAAGTACCTTAATTGGGGTTATAATAGTAGTTGTAAGTAGCGTTACCTTAACTATAACCCTAGTTACTAAGTCCCATGATCCTTTAAGTACAGGCGACTTATCGAGGAAGGGGAGGCGCACGGCTGTGAATCCTGCTCTCTTAGGCACGTCCGAAGTGCCACATCCTTACGTCTCCGAGCCGACTGCAGCTGCGAGCGTCAGCCCCCTGGCCGAAACCTAAAGTATCAGCGTTTCAGACAAAAGCTGGGCCCTCACGTACTAGTAGTGGCTGAACTAGGACTTCATGAGCCTGGCAGGCGCGAGGTTTATGACACAGGCTTGCCCGGTCATGAGATTCTTCGCAAAGCTTCGTGGTGAGCTATGTGAGCCTTTGACGGATCTGGGAGTTGCGAAGATGAAGGTTTCAGAGCAACGATTACCTGATGCTATTTGTGGCAGACTTCTCAAGCATTCCTGAAACCTTGTAAACCCTAAACCCCTTAACCCCTCAACCACAAACCCACCCAAAGCCTGTAAACCATCAACCTCCTGGGTCGGGAGCTAAAAAGCCCTGCTTGCCCAGCAAATCTAAAGCTTCGGGGTCCAAGCATCGCCAAAGAGTCGGAGCTCATTTTCTCTCGCCACAGAATACTGTACTGTAGAATACACCTCCAGCATCCCGGCGGGGACCACAGCTACACGGAGAAACGGATGTGGCTTTGCCTGGAAGCCATGGCGAATTCGAGCAAGCGTGCAAGCGGGAACCCTCGACCCGAGGAGCCTTTCTGGGGCATCAAACGACTCCGGACTTCCGTGGATGGCCCTGCTGTAGTAGTAGTAGTAGTAGTGGTGGTGGTGGTGGTGGTGGTGGTGGTGGTGGTGGTAGCAGTAGTAGTAGTAGTAGTAGTAGTAGTAGTAGTAGTAGTAGTAGTAGTAGTAGTAGTAGTAGTAGTAGTAGTAGCAGTATAGTAGTAGTAGTAGTAGTAGTAGTAGTAGTAGTAGTAGTAGTAGTAGTAGTAGTAGTAGTAGTAGTAGTAGTAGTAGTAGTAGTAGTAGTAGTAGTAGTAGTAGTAGTAGTAGTAGTAGTAGTAGTAGTAGTAGTAGTAGTCGTAGTAGTCGTAGTAGTAGTAGTAGTAGTAGTAGTAGTAGTAGTAGTAGTAGTAGTAGTAGTAGTAGTAGTAGTAGTAGTAGTAGTAGTAGTAAGTAGTAAGATGGAGAGATGGAGTCATAGCATGACTGCCACATACTGCCACCATGGACGAAAGAAGCGTCCAGATCACCGGCATGGCCCGCTAAAGTGCTATCACACGGAGTCCGGAAGCACTCAGCCAGGCTTCCGTTCCCCGCTGCATCCTCTCCAGCCTGAGTGTTGAAGTTGCAGGGCTTGGATGGCTTAGATCAAACAAGATGATTGCAAGGGCTTCTTATCAACACCCAAAACCTATATGCGATGACAAACACGGCGAGACAGACAGCAGCCGAGAATAAATGAGCATCCGAGATACAGGTGAAGGCTGTGGATGTAGGGAGCCTCCGACAAGAGCAGTGCCAGGGCGTTGATAGCTTTATAGTACCCTCAAACAGGCCCTGATTCAATTAGAGTACCTTTAGAAGTGCCCTTATGCTCTGCGAACGGTTGGGACATCGCACTAGGGCGACTGCTATCATCGCGTGCTAAGCAGGTGGCTGTTTTCAAATCTCACCAGCTTGGCCGTGGCTATCTCCGACTCGCCGCTGACTGGATTTAGGGATTAGGTGAAGCTGAGGGCGACAAGCCAGCTTCCTGTTGCTTGTACGTAATATGCTGTCGCTTGGATTTCTGAGGCTACTGGTGTTGCTGTTGTGACTGCACCTCGTCGCCGGAATTACTCAACCCCAAAAACTCTTTGCTTCCACCCCCCCCCCCCAAGAACGCAAGACGCCAGCCAAGAAGCCCTCTGTACTGCCCTCCCCCCTGCTTCCACGAAGAGCTCGGCGACTGTACCTGGGTTTCGGTTGCGGCCGAGGCTAGGGCTCAGGGTTGATTTTCAGGTCTCAACTATGCCGAAAGTCATCATAACAATGATTGAGCGACAATTCCGAAGTCTTCCCTTCCAGTCACAACATTAACACCCTTTTGAAAGTACTTGAGCTTGAACATACCAGGCTAGCAACCGTCATACTGCAACACAGCTTACCATGAACATCCTAAACTCGAAACCGCAGGCTGCCGTAGATCTCCACCAGTCCCCACAAAAGCCCCAACAGGACGTTAAGGTGCCGAGAACCGATGCATCTGCCTCCACTTCGCTGTCTTTCAGATCCTGCAGAAGCTGGAGCGCCTCCCAGGTTTGGGGCTCAAGCGTTGTTTAGGGTTTAGGGTTTAGAGTTTAGGGTTGAAGTTTAAGGGTTAAGGGTTTAGCATTTGGGTTTAAGGGAAGTGTGCCGAACATTTATATAGATTGCACACGGAAACTTGGGGAATGGTAGTAAATTTCCATCTTTCTCCAGACAGAGGGAGAGAAGCACAAGGTGGTTTGGGCATCTCCGAAACCCTAAACTCCAAACGCTGCCAAATGAACAGAAATCCGGTCGAAGAGCCCCAACCCCTAAACCCTAAATCCTAAACTCTGAACCCTAAACCCTAAATCCTAAACTCTAAACCAAACCTTCTAGAAGGCCTCACTTCGCCCCCTGTTTGGCCGAATGCACCTTGGGCCATAGCTCCATTTGCCCGGCCGAGGAAAGTGCAGAGAACACAATGCCCATGATGGCGGCGCCGGGCGGTTGCGAACTGCGGGCACCCTAAATTCCTAAACCCCAGCTTTTTCCGACATCGGCTTCCGTTGTTCCATGCTACCAAGCTACCTCGCAAAGCCAAAATCCTGAACCCTGCACTCCAGACCCCAAATCCTGAACCTAAATCCCAAACCCTTGAATCCCAAACCCTAAGCACAAAGTCTTCCCAGAGCTACAATTCTAATCATGCTCTGAGAATGCGATAATACCACTGACACTGATACGCCAACAACAATACTGTAGTCTAACAGTATATTTGTACAGTAAGTGGCTTCGCCTCCCAGTGCGCAGATTCGCCAGCACCTGGGTGGCTGTCAAAATTAAGGCCCCTTTTTGGGTACCCTAGATAATAGGTGCCGTATTATATTAGGGACCCAAAAAGGGACCATAATTTCCTTTTTGGGTAGGTGCCGTATTATATTAGGGACCCAAAAAGGAACCATAATTTTGAAAACCACCTGTCGCCAAGCCCTCGCTCTCTCAGCCGCCGAGAAGATGGCCTCCTCGGGGCTCAGGGCTTGGAGTTTCGGATCTCTAGGGTTCAGGTAGGCTTTACCCAGAGAGCCCAATACCCCTTAATTGAGGAATACGGCTTAAATTAGATAGGGCTTATGATTTAAGCTATATTCCTAATTGATTAAGGGGTATTGGGCTCTCTGGGTACGGTTTAGGATTTATGGGCTTTGGGTTTCGGGGGGCATAAGGCTTCTAGGGCTAAGAATTCATTAGGACCGTCCCCACAGGCTTCGGTAGATGTACTGTCTACAGCAGCTGGAAACCCCGAATGAAAAACAAAAGTGACTCCAGGTCAGACACCTGAGACCCCCAAAGTATGTAGAATAATGGCCTGTTCCAGGTATTATGGGCCATTATTTCCCCAGTTCGAAGCCCCCACTTTCAGATCTCCGTGTGGGTTTTCCCGGCTCCTTGGTGAAGGGGTCGGGCTCCAAAAGCCGCACGCGCAGTTGAGGGAGGAGCCCCAGCGTGAGGACCCAGAGGCGGCTTTTCTCCAGCGCAGAGGCAAGGGAATTGAAGGAGATTCGATCCTTAAGTTAGCATTTTTTTGCAACACATACTGAAAAATATGCTATCATATTGCTGCAATCACACTATGTATACGGTTGGCGTTTTGGGTTTAGGGCTGGCCCTCCAAAACTCTATTCTTGTAGTTAATCACTAAATCAGGGGACATACGAGATGTGCCACTGGCCTACCTAGGATCAGGATCCATGGTCTCGTCGAAGAGACAGATAGCCTTTCTCCATCGCAGTGGCTCTGCACAAGCGGAGATGAGAGCATTACATGCTGCTCGGCCAGAGATTATGGCAGCAGAGGCAGCCATGGTTACCACGGATGGCATGAGAGCTGACTGTTCTAAGGTCAACCAAGCTGACATAGCTTTCGACCACTCCTGAGCAGTGCGCAGCGCTCCCAGACATGCATTCAGAGACTCAAGACTGGGACGTAGAGTAGACATCGGAAGCCAGCGAAGGATGCCCAGCGCCAGTTCCCAGCGAACACTCCGGCCCAAGGAGCACAATGCTGCATTGTATGGAAGGGTCTTGGATGCCTTCTGGGTGTCGAGAAAAGGCCGCAAGTCAAAGGCCGTTTGCAGAGATCTTTGCCATTCCAAACCCTTCTCGCATGCACTGATGCACGCTGCGAGGGCCATGGCACGACATTGGAGATCACCACGAGTGGGTTTGGGCAAAATGCGAATCTGAGGCAAATGCCGAGCGAGGTCGACTGCTCTGACCCACCTTTGCCCCTTCTCACAGGCAGAGATGCATGCGCTGACGGTAACGCCATCGATGCTTCTCTCCATGGACTCGCAAATGCCCAAGGCTGCGTCCCATTGTGATGAGCCTTCACAGGCACTGATAGCCGAGTTGAAGGAGATCCGGCTCACGGAGCGATGCTCTCTTCTCTTGTGTGCGTCGCAGTGGAGCTGTTTCTCTAGTGTCAAGAATTCGAAAGCCAGGTGCCATCGTCTCAAGAATCGAGCAAGGTGGATCAGAGAGCCAGTGGTCGCTGCACCTATTTCGATGCCCAGTTGGTGCATGTGGCTGTACGTGTCCATTGCAGCCATCCAGCCATGAGCCGCATTTCCTGCATCGCCTGTGGTGGAAGCGCTAGCAGCTGCAACGCACGAGAGAGCGGCATTGGACGTCACGGTGTTTGGTTGCAGCGACCGCTTTGGAAGCTGTTGCAGTAGGAGGAAGCCCTGATGCCACCTGAAGGCCCTGCTCAAAGTGATCCCCGTTCCGAAGGAGACGATGCTGGGTACCACGCCGCCCGTTTTCATGTCTTGCAGAAGCCCAAAGCCGAATGCCCATCGTGCAGATCTCGTGGCCGCCGCCAGGACGGAATTCAGAGTGATGCAGTTGCTGGGACACTGATTCCCATGCATGTGCGATAGGACTCGCCTTACTTGCCGGCAAGAAACCCCACAGTCGGGCTTCAGGGTTTAGGGTTTAGGGGTTTAGGGGTTTAGGGGTTTAGGGTTTAGGGTTAGAAGGTCCTAAACCTAAACCTTGCCGTACACTTCGTACCCCCGGCAAGAAGCTCACGAAAGAACTTCAGCTCGAATCACACCAAATCAGAATCTTTTGGTGCATCCCAGAATAAACTCGCGAAACATCTCAAACTCCCATCATCCCGAAACCGGAAAGCCCGAACAAAATCGTGAACCTTAAACCCGACACCCCGCTAAGTTGCAAAGTCATCAACCACGGCATCTGAGCCATGGCGGATGTGTATCGGACCACTGTCAACTCCATCCTCCCAGGACGAATCGGCTTTGCCCAAAGTAGTTCCCTTCTGGGGTTCATATGTAGAATCTTATGAGGTAACCCCTAAAAGGAACTACTGTGGGGCCTCTGGGTAGTGATTTCAATTTGATAGGGTTTTCGGTACATGACGCGTACCTTTGTATGGTAAGCAACCCCAAAGACTTACCCAGCAACCCTGCAGACTTTTGCATTGTGTGGTTACTTGGAGGGTCATGGGACTTAGAAAGTAAGGTTATAAGTACTTTAATTGGGGCTATAAGTAGTTATAAGTAGAGTTACCCTAATTATAACCCTAGTTACGAAGTCCAATGATCCTTTAAGTAGTCTTGTAGAGCCGTTTAGGGATCTTTCAGGCGATCGATGACGGGTTTCTTTCAAGGGTTTAGGGCTTAGGGTGCTTGGGGGGTTAACGAATTCAGGGGGTTAGACTTTAAGGGTTTGGGTTGGGGAGTGAGATTAAGGTTTAGGGTCACTGTATCTGGGTTGAGTGGGATCTTATGGATTACCTAAAAGGTAAAATTATGGCCAATACCTATAACAGGCCATTATTCTACATACTTTGGGGGTCCAGGTAGGGTCCAAAGATTGATTAGAAGAAAAAAAGTCAAGAAATTCGGAAAGGCAAGGGCTGGCACAGGGTAGTGTAGGAACCTGATTTAGAAACACCAAAACCGTAGAATTCATGTAAGAAACCCTAATAAAGGCCCAGGGTTTCTCAATCAGGTTCCTACATTAGAGGGTTTTAGGGTCCCAAAACGATAAACACTTCTCGGAAGAATTCCTGCGCGGAGAAAGTGAACTTAAGTAAACCTTCCCATTCTTGGACGTACCTGAACCAGACAGGGATTCGTCACGAAGCTTGCGCACGAAAACGAAAATCTGAAAATGCACTGAGCCCCCAACACCCCAAAAACAAAAATCAACCCAATAAGCCCTGAACCCCATAGAGTCCTGCGACTCCTCATCGTCACCAGCTCTGCTAGAGAGCAGCGCCATGGCTCCGAGATCGTCGTCTCTGACATGCGGAGTTCTCGAATTGACGGGTCCCTTTTAAGGGATTTCTTAACAAGGTTTAGGGCTTGGGGTCCGTCTATAGAGGGCTCTGGGCGAGTCGGGGGTTTGAGGTTTCGTCGTGAGTGGTCTCGGCTCGGAAGAGTGCGTAGGCATTCGGATTTAGCACTATAAACGAACATTACTTGGAGGATCATGGGACTTAGTAAGTAAGGTTATAAGTACCTTAATTGGGGTTATAAGTAGTTACAAGTAGAGCTACCCTAACTATAACCCTAGTTACTAAGTTCCATGATCCTTTAAGTACTCTGTGCTGGGAGGCTCGTAAACTACCTCCAAGCTTTGGCAGCCCAAGCTTCCTCTCGTGCCGGTGATCACTTAGCACCAAGCGCAGTGACAGAAACCCTACTGAAAAGAGTGTTCCAGTGAAAGGCTTCTAGTACAAGGGAATGAGCAGAGGCTTACAAAAGCTCGTTGCGATCCATGACTCATTATGACCCTTAGAGCGGTAGGGGGAGGAGGGTGTAGGGGGCCTTAATACCTCTGATAAGGATCTAATCAGGCCTATTTAAGGAAGTATGGTCCGCTACCCCTCTCGCCCCTAGCCCCGTAGGGGTCCCTATGACTGCGACATGTCTGTTGCGAACTGGGCGGGCCTGTTGCATATGGGTAGTTGTCAAAATCATGGTCCTTTTGTGGGGGTCCTTAATATATCATACGGCGCCTAATGTTTAGGGTACCCAATTAGGGACCATCATTTTGACAACTACTCATATTCAATCCTGACCCTGGTACTTCGATGGCATCCCGCGAGCGAATCCTACAGTTCCGAGCCCTGGTCCGACGAACATTACTTGGAGGATCATGGGACGTAGTAAGGGTTCCTCAAAAGGGCTCTTTAAAGGGATCTATACGGGTTCCTTACAGGGATCTATGGGGTGTAGGGTTTAGGGTCTACTTGGAGGATCATGGGCTAGACCTAAGAGTAACCTAGGAATGAAAAGGGTGCCCTTTTTGGTTTAAAGGGGGTTATAAGGGAACCTGAACCCTTAAAAAAGGGAATAAGGGCTTACTCTGGGTCCTAGTGGGACTTAGTAAGGGTTCCTTAAAAGGGCTCTTTAAAGGGATCTATAGGGGTTCATTATAGGGATCTATGGGGTGTAGGGTTTAGGGTCTACTTGGAGGATCATGGGCTAGACCTAAGAGTAACCTAGGAATGAAAAGGGTGCCCTTTTTGGTTTAAAGGGGGTTATAAGGGAACCTGAACCCTTAAAAAAGGGAATAAGGGCTTACTCTGGGTCCTTGTGGGACTTAGTAAGGGTTCCTTAAAAGGGCTCTTTAAAGGGATCTATAGGGGTTCATTATAGGGATCTATGGGGTGTAGGGTTTAGGGTCTACTTGGAGGATCATGGGACTTAGTAAGTAAGGTTATAAGTACCTTAATTGGAGTTATAAGTAGTTAAAAATAGAGTTACCTTAATTATAACCCTAGTTACTAAGTCCCATGATCCTTTAAGTACAAGCTGCTGATGTGTGACAAGCTCTGTCGATAGAACAAAAAGCTAGAACAAGGGTCGTGGACATGGAAGTTTCAATATTCGGACCTCACCGTGGCCCTGCCGCAACAGAATCTGATAACATCCCAGATGTTTTCGTCAAGTTCTACATCAAATTGAGATCCGTGCAGCCTGGACTTTGGATGAACCATGTCATGGTAAAGCAAAAGTTTTCAACGAGTGGTACCAGGGCTCCTTCAAGTTGCAGTTGTGCTTAGCAAGGTTGGGTTGCGATGCTCCAAAATCGAATGCAGGACGACACTTCGTGCTGAAAGGTCGGATCACCAGTGCAGTTATTGGAAGGGTTTGCAACCTTCTGCCCCTGTCCTGCCATGCTTTTCTTGCCGAGAAATGGTATAGCTCTACCTAAGAGCAGCTGAATTTGGCAGTCAGCTGCTCCCATTGGTGAGGCGTCCTGCAAAAATAAGAAAAACTCGACGGCCCTCTTCTCGATATGTCTAATGTCGGGGCCTTAATGGTTAGAATAGGGTTTTGGGGCTCATTAGACTACAATTATCAAAAGGAATCCCCAAAATAGTGTCGGTATTTATTTAGGCCCCTAAAGTACTTCTGCAGATAGGACCCGGACTTGTCACCACCTCGGAGATCTGAACCTGTAGGGGTCAGAATGATTGGTAATAGTTCCATGCAGATCCATTGTCAGATAACCACACCAGAATATACGGCTGGGACCGATTCGTAGGCTCAAGGTCGATGCGGAGGCAAGACTTGTCGCCCAAGCGCTTCGCACGAGTCAGATCTCGAACAAGAAGTTCGAGTCCGAACTTTGAAGTCTAAAAAAAACCTTAACCACAAATTTAGGCCTGCAACTTCGAAATCCCTAAAACCTACATCTCCCGCGCCAAACCCTAAAAACCCCAAATCTTCAAGCCCTAAACCCCGAAACCCCGAAACCCCTAAACCCTGAACCCTGGTCCCCAAGATCGACCAACTTCGCTCCTCACGCGGAAGTCGCTGCCAAGGGGGCCACGCAGTGGCCGGCTACCTCAAAACTGCTGAGGTCTTCTTGAGGTTACACTTCAGTGTTTATAGTCCAGATAGAAGATTTCGAACAACATCGGGGATTGCTATGACGATCCAACAAGTCAAGGTGCATACAGATGGGGGTGGCTGTCATCTATTTGCAGCGTGTTGCATGCGAACCGTGCATGCGCGACTTGGAGCAGGCTTTCAGATGCGATTTTGGATTATGTTGGGACGCTGCAAGGTGATCTTTGCCAAAACGTCTTTAGAAACAGTTCGCAACAAGACTCGGCAAACCTTGTTTAAGCCTAAACCCTAGAACACGCCGGAAAACCCTGAACTCGACCATCAAAAGCATCAAAACCGGCAAAACTCCACTCGAGAAAGTCTTGAAGAACCCCGGACCCTAAACCAAAACCCTAAACCCCTAAACCCTAAACCCGTAAACCCTAAACCCTACACCCCTAAACCCTAAACCCTACACCCCTAAACCCTAAACCCTAAACCCCTACACCCTAAACCCTAAAACCCTACACCCTAAACCCTAACCCTAAACCCTAAACCCTCACAGGTTGGCTGGCTCAGGCCATGACTTCTAGCAGTCGCAACTCCTCGTAGGTCATGCCTGGATCTCTCTCACAAGCTTCCCTAAACCACCCACCCCCCCCAAAAAAAAGAGAACAAATAGGTAAAATAATGATCCAATACACATAAAAGGCCATTATTCTATATACTTTGGGGGTCCAGGTCGGTGTCTTTATTGCTAATTCATTGGGGCGCTGATTTCTGGGGGCATGCAAAAGGCCTAAACCCCAAACCCTAAACCCCTGAACCCTAAACCCTAAGCCCTAAACCCTAAACCCTAAACCCTAAACCCCAAACCTTAAACCCTAAACCCCTAAACCTCTAAACCCTCGGTCTTCAGGGTATTCATGAAATTTCGGTTTTGACACGTATGTCTTTGGGGCGCCGCCTGCAGGGCCCTCGGGGTGAGGGATTAGGAATACCGTAGAGCTACCACTGTGTAGGGCATCTATGGCCTTTCAGGATTGTTAAAGTCGTGGTGTCTAATTAGCTTCTTAGCTTCAGGCTCTTGTGACTCTTGTAAAGGAGCTTCTAAACGACGCTCAACAAGGCAACGTCTTGCTGATGATGTGTTTCGCGAAAAGTGCATGCTCAACAAAGGCATAGTCGATCAGTCTTCTCCGGGAGACTCCGCACTGTACCGACGAACCTTTGGCTTGACATCGCTACGAGCGCTGGATCCAGAACAGTTTCAAGAACGGGTAGACGGCCAGGCCGTTGTTGTCTACAAACGTGCCCGTTGAAATTAGCGGCACGGATGCACGTTTTAATGCCGAGTGGGGCATCCAAGCAGGCATAATTTCCGGCACCCTGCATGTGACCTATGAGATGTTCGTTGCCTCGCACAGCTACAGCATAACAACATGGACCCGACACCATGGTACTATGCGCAGTGACGCGATGTTTACGCGAACCGTTTTGAAGCTCCCACATCACACGAGCGGCTCCACCTCGCTTTCAACATCGCTCGGCAGAGTCGGGCTTCGGCTACCCGCAGCCTGCATAGAGCTCAAGTTCAGACTTCGCAGACATGCAAGTTTACTGTGATTGAGCTTGATGACTTAATGGGCGCAATAGTCAATAGTCATAGGTTTCTTGGTAACAACAAACATATCGACGATAAGCTGTCATTTTCATCCTCGGTGTAACAGATTTCCCTCAGAATTTTTGGATTGGCCCAACCTTAACTCACAGGGACCCGTAAGGGGGTAGGGGGAAGGGGGCGTGTAGGGGGCCTTAATGCCCCATAATAAGGACCTGATAAGGCCTATTTGAGGAAGTGTAGTCCCCTACCACCCTGCCCCCTACTCCCTACGGGTCCCTGTGATTAACTCTCCAAGCAAACTGGGAGTTAGGAAAAGGGGCACCCTTGGGGATATAGACCCTCTCAATAAGGCCCCTTTTAAGAGAGCCAGAAGTAGGGCTCAGAAGGGGCACCCTTTAAGGGGTCTCCCTGATAGTACTACCTACAAAGTAAATCGAGATCTCGCGGGTGTGCATGGTACTTCGATCTAAGTAGGAGGAGATGGAACTCGTAGATCATTCCTCTGTAAAGTACCATATGGGAGTTTCCGAAAAACAAGGGGGTACTGTACCTTATTTTGGGGTCCTACTGTTTGGGGTACTATATTAGGGGCCACTATTTTCGGAAACCCCCATATGAGCATAGTATGCCCACGTCCTGTTCTGTCCTATGTACTATGAAGCTTTATTCCGGCGGGCATGTCGATACAATCTGTTCCAGCTGGCATCGCCTCGCCCCATCCACACCTGTGTAAGTGTCCGCAGATGCTTCCCCCAAAACTAAACCACCAAGAAACAGTCCGATGCTAACGATATTTGCGTTGCCCCTGTGGGCCCATGCTATTGCTACGACAGGCCGCACA